GTCACAGACACTGCTGGAAAAAAGAATTGAGAGAATATTAATTTATTCTCATTAAATTAAACAATAGATGTTCTGTTCCCCGAAATTCATAAAACAAACAAATAGCGCATCCAATCTTAGCAAGTATCCTCTCGGGTCCAGCCTCAGTCGAAACCATGATGTAGAGCGAAAAGAACTGGAACCCAAAACAGGGACAATGACACAGTTCCTGTGGAAATGGAAAACAAATAGCCATCGATGCGCCCCAATAGTGACCATGTTCAGCCGAGGTTGCAAGGAAAAAAGATCTAGTGGTTTTAAGTCAGTTGCACTCTGACACTTCTTCTCGCCCCACTAAGGCGGGAGAAGTACCTAACATGACAATATTTCCATCTCAAAAATAGCCTTAGGAATCACGTATTTCAGTAAAGCTCTTACTTAAATTATGCTCAGCTTCAAAGTAACTTAGTCGCATAACAATTCCACATAAGAGCAAAACCTCATGAAAATAACCCTAGGAAATCCAATGTAGCTCTAATTACCCATCTCCTGATCTCAATCACACTTGTTACTCGAACTTACGACAATTACTAGTTAATTACAAGAAATAAGTGCCTTTTCATCCAGGGTTGAGCAATAACCGTAATAACGATTACAACCAAGTATAATCTTCGAGCAAGTTCTTGCAAAATAATACGGTTGATAACATTCAGGATGTTACAAGTCGGTTAAGATTAGCGCTGGTGATAACCCTGTAACGACAAGCGTCGAAGTGAAGATAGCGTACACTGTAGTCACCCTCGACTCTGTATTTGGGGTGACTAAAGTACCACACAAACTGTGTTGTCGAAACCGGTAGTTTCCAACTAGTCAAATTCAATATTTTCATTGTAATTTAAAAAATGATACTTTTCTATGAATGCTGTTTGAAATCGCATTACATTACCGCATCTTTCTACGTCCAATAACATACTAATTTCTGAAAAATGTGTTACATTTTTGTTTTATTTATAATGATTATTTAATTTTTATTGAAAAAATATTTGTCACCTAGGAAGTAATCAAATTGTATTATGAACTGGTTCTATGTGGTATGTTTTTTCACCCAAAATGTGGTTTGGGCTAATCCCCGGGTAAGGCAAACATGTCCATTAATATTTCAGTGATAAAATTCAAAATATACTCGTTTCCATTCTCGAAACCAAACCGAACATTTGGAAGGCGTACGAGGGGCTGAAACCAACTCACAGAGGCCCTTTGAACAACTTTAATATTAGTGGAATAAGCAAAACATCAGCCAGGAATTATCTTTGTATGCACTATAAAAGTGCACCCAAGGTCAATCCCCGGTTGATGCAGGAGTAATGTGCAATATGGTAGAAAATTATATGGTTATGGGTGTGGGTGGCTAAAATATACTATTATTAAGTAAATAATATTTTAGTTTTAATAAAAGTTAGTTTCCTATTTCAAACATAAAAAATGTTTCTTAACTTTTCTAAATAGCTCACTTCTTAGAGAAGAAACATGGCTGCCTTATACTTTCGAGATATGAAGTCTAGATTACTGCACTACATCTTCTAGCTAGTTGAAAACTTTTTAGATTAAATGTATGACTATGGCTAGTTAGCTACTAACATTTTAATCGAAATGCAATTTTTGTAACAGAAAGGGCAGATAAAAGAGCTAAAAGATTCACCGCTTTTTTTTTAAATGTGTTGAGATACCACGGTCTCACACAAAACCGGCGTGAAATAACTACAGCGTTGTGTTTCGCCGTGTGAGTGAGGTTACTGGAGGCCCAATCCTTCCCCATACCCAATCTCTCCCCGATCCCTAAACCTCAAAAACTCCTCCCTAATCATCAAAAGATTGTAACTGCTCGGTTATTGCGGAAGTCCACGGGCGGCGCTGATTGCTTACCATCAAGTAATTCGTCGGGTTGTTTGCCGCTCTATCACATAAAAAAAGTTTTAGCGAAGTTATTAAAGTTCAGTTTTGTTCAACTAGCATAACGTATTTATATAAATTCTATAAAAGAACAAACTACGTTGACTGTCCCATTTTCGTATAAAAATTTTTGTTCGTTATCTTAACACTAGGAAGACCGAAATTTTGAACTACCTATAAAGACCAGGTGGGGTCAAATGACCCATTCATGGGTTATAATGTTTTATTCATGTATTATGATTTTAAGTTTTATTGATTACCATCTTATAGTAAATAAAAGAACTTAATAGTAATTAAACATACATTACGTAATAAAAACATAAAAATATTAGGCACATTTTTGACATTTAATTGTTTACATTACAAGAGCCACACAAAAGCTTTTTACAACGAATTTTACGACTTTTACGATTTATTGGTTTTATTTCTGCATTTTTGCAAGCGGGTATGCTATTATCAGGTTGTAAAGTAGATGGTGTCATCAGGGAGTGGGAATCTTGGCCGACTAAGTCCCTGGCCAAGTCAAGAATGAACTTTTTTCTACTGATTTTTTTCTCGATAGCTTTTTGTTAAAATCCAAGAATCATTTGCTGTCAAATCCAAAATATTATTATAAAACACTTGTCCTGTGTTAGAATTAAGTTTTTTGCCATATTTACACTGGTGAAACAAATATCAGTAGTTACATTTCGACCAGTGGGTCCATTGGTCGCAATACGACCCACTCGCCTGAACTTTGATTTTGTCGACGGCTTTCATTTCTTTCTCACAGGTGAGGTCACATATGGGACCTCGACCTCTTCTTAGGTTTTGCGCTACGTAAAGTCGAGAGCTACTGAATCTGAAACAGTGGAGTAAACGCTAATAAAATATTTCCTTTTCTCTCAATGTAAAAAAAATATTATTTTATTTACATCAATATACAAAATAATATACACTTACTATCAGAATCGGAATATGAGTGGGATCATCATCCCTAAAAGAATCACTATTTTGTGTAATATTGTAAACACTTTCTTGACTTTCTGAGTCTAAATGCAAAATGTGCCTCACTTCTTCAGTCGATTCACAGTCTGATTGATCGTCCGGTAAATTTTGCGACACTTCCAGTATTTTTGAAGGGCAAAGCCATGAAATGTCTTTGTTTTGACAAGAATAAAACAAGAAAAAAATAATTTATTTCAACTACCCATAACAAAGTATATTCCACGAAATGTAACTAGCAAGCACGCTGTGGTGTCAAATGACCACTGCGGTCTCTCTAGGTAGGTGATATTTTTTTAATTAGTATTTATCTTGCTATCGGTATACCCATATCAGAATAATGTAAACAATAACGAAATATTAAAAGTCATAAAACGACAATGAGTTCAGTGCTATGGTTTTGAAAATATGATTTATCAAAAATTTCATTGGGGTCATTTGACCACTCTGGTCTTTCTAGTGTTAACAGAAAAATTTAACATGCAAGATACAGACCATGCATAAAACCGGTAACGTAGAAAGCGAAAGGTATACATAGGTAACTATGAATTTCTTCGCTTCATCTTACTCTTTCAAATGCTTGTTTTCTTCATACATATGTTGAAAGAACACGTTACATATCGTTACAATTTTTAATATATATTTTTTTTTAATTCTTCTACTTGAAATTCTAATCACCCACACCACACACATGCCTGTAAAACGTTTTCTACTCTCCAACCGATCCACATATCTCTTTTCGCAAAAGGATAAGTTCAAATTAGAGTAAAGTTGAGCCTTGCCGGAAGCAAGCCGGAACCGAGAACCGGACCGGCGCTCGACGTTTGTTAAAGGACTGACCCCTTTAAAATGAGATATAGGTACTCGTGGATGTTGGGAACTGAACTGTAGCCACTTACAGACGTTGAACGTTTATAACAAGTCCCTGTTTTTGACTGATCAATCCCTCAGGATAGATTATGGCGCCTATTCAAACATCTGAGTGTGAATTTGACAAGGATTTAGCGTTTATAATCAACCTTATTTCATAGGCACTAAAACTTATAATAAGGTAGTACCACAGGGTAGTACGCATGGACTAGTTTCACGGCATGAATAAAAAAGTTTTTATTGACCCTATGCAAGGTGCTTAAAAGGTAACAAAGAGCTAAAACGACAACACTAAAAATATCTTATATCCATATATATCAAAATCAATGTCACTTTTCGTTGTATTGTTATACATGGCAATTATAAATGGCAGCAAAATCAAACGAAAAGTGACATTAATTTTGCTGCCAACTCAACAATGCCTTTACCGATTCGGCTAATTTTGGTCTTGAATTAGTTGTGGAAGTCCAGAAAAGATTTGTTCGTAGAGAAAATAACAAAAATATATTAAAAAGTGTAAAATCGACATACACGCGGGCGACCGCTAGTGTAATATAAAAAGCATTATCATGGATTTAAGGAGAGCAATACTTGAGCAACTTGATTTCAGAGATTACAGAGCAAGGCTTGATTTCCAAAGCACTCAATCACAATACCTTGTCTCATTCCAACTTCGAAGCAGTAATACACCTACATTTCACACAGTGTACCAACATGAGCGATCGGGGACTGTGAACCGTTCCGGTACTTTAAGAGGCAAGGAAGTAAAACACAATGTATTATATGGATTATGGATACTTTTACACTTCGATCTCAACTCCATTTCAAATGTCTGCCCTCTGGCATGGTCGTACAATGAAAGGTCACGTGCGTATATGAAGTTTCCTAATACTCACGACCTTTGTTATTTTGCAAATAATTCGACAGAATGTAGTTTATAGCCATGCATTATAGTCAGATCGTGAATCGATCTGACCACTGCTTGGCTTCCATTCATTCCACTTAGTCATTTTTCGGAGATCATTTTCTAACTCCGTGCGTCTATTAAGACGACAGAACATTGAACTTATTAAAATTTACCATTTTCTATGTAATAGGTCGGCAAACGAGCAGACGGATTACCTGATGGTAACGGAGGAGTTACGAGTGCGTTGCCGACCTTTTAGGGATTAGGGTTTTGGAGATTTAGGGATTGGGCCTCCGGTAACCTCACTCACACGGCGAAACACAACGCTGTGGTTGTTTAACGACGGTTTTCTGTGAGGTAGTGGTATCACTCCGGTCGAGCCGACCCATTCGTGCCGAAGCATGGCTCTGCCACACTTAAAACACGTCTATTCCTCAGACCAAATTTCGATGCTTCGAATTCACTTTAGACTAGGTTACCACGTCATGCATCTGTCAACCACATAAACTAAACAACACTATGTAAAGAATCATCATTACACGCCTAACAAAGTTCCAAAACGGTTAGAAATGAAAACATAAAGATATGACTTACTTGTTATTCAAACAACATTTTTACAGCTTTATTATTTGAAATATTTGAAATAAAATCTGAGTATGTAAACTGGTCATAACCGTACCTCTCGCGTTATTACGAAGGCGATCACAAAATCGGTAATATTACCAACATATCGCACGTAACTATCGAAAGATATACAGAAACCGGACTTTTATGTTCCACCATTCCAAGTGAAATAGGCGTGACGGTACATACATATGGGAGTTTTGAGGAAAAATGGGGGGTCTCCAGTAAATTATCGCTACATCATAACAGCCGAAATGTCCGAGGGTCAGACTCTAGGGAGCTCCTTATCAAAAACTTGTCAGAAAACTTACTTATTTGTTTTTATCGTCGTCTGGTTTATATTCATGTTTTAGTGCTTATATGCCAGACTTTATTTTGGTTGTGAATCAGCCTCTTTTTCAACATTGTTATTAAGAAAGAAATGAGGTTGAATAAAAAAGTAAGATAAACCTAGGACTAAAATTACCATATTTTTGTTCATTGAAATAATGTCCAAACCTACTTGTATAAATTTGATCAATAAACACAGAGGTTTAATACAGAAACGATCCACAAAATGTGCTATTTTCTTCCAACCACTGGGATAGAAAGCTATAAAATTAATTCATTCTAAAGAACACTAAGGAAACGGGCCATTCCAGAAGTGTCCAACGGAATCTAAAAGTTAAAACGCTGAAAAATATAAAGCTACTCGTATTTTCACCACTGCAAAATGAGAATCTTTGGGAAACAATGCGCTTGCCTCGCGTCTTTCAAACATTCCCCCTTTTGAATTTCCCCCTTCAAAGCATGAACTGAAAACCGGGTTTTTTGAAATATTGTTCACAGCTACTAATGGAACATGAATTTTTAACCTACTTCGATAGAAGCAGTCTCTAATAAAGACATAGTTTATGTATTACCGTTTCGCAAACACAAAAACAATAATTCATTTATGAACAGGAAAGTTAGTTTCAAAGTTGTTTTCTCGACGATGCTGAAGCGCTTGATTAAATTTGGGTGTAAATGGCCACACGGGAATAGCGAAGAAACCACATAATACTTATTACAGTGTTAAACATAACTATTTACTCCGGAAAATAGGTCATTCTTTCTTAGCTTCAACTATGAAACTAAATTAAGCAATTATCATATTTGAACAAATATTAAAGAATACCTAGTCTAATGTTTGAGATTCCTCAAATATATCCAAACTAATATTTGAAAATGCGAAACTAACTCTATCTGTATGTCTCTCCTTTCTTTAAGCCTTAAATACTGAAGCGATTTCTATAAAATTTGGTACAGACATAGTTTGGAACTCGAGAAAGAGAATAGAATAGTTTTTATACCAAAAATATTTAGCATTATTGAAAATAAGGAATCGTTTATCAATAATTTTGTTAACTTTATAATAAAAAATGTAACATTAAAAAGCAAATAAAATATCATCACAGATTAGTTTCAAGTATTTAAAAAGCGTTCATGACCCCAAAGTGAGCTATAAAGGTTTCTTTAGGGAACAGATCTTGGAGCACCTATATTATCTCTTCCATTTAACGGTTCCCCGAAGATCCCACCGTATTCCAACATCCATAAGACTAAGATTAGAGCCGGGCTACTATTTAGAACCATTTGGCATAAATAGTTGATGTAACTGCACTTTGTATTGGCACTATGCCAAGACATTGCTTAGGTATTTACTTTGTTCGTATGTATAATGTAAGAGTAATCTTTTGTTCTTGTTAGTTTTGCTTCGAAACTGGTGCATGGTTTTTAATTACTGGGAGAAATTAAGCATAAGGAAGAAGTTGTTCTGATTTTCTCGTCCGCCAAAGCACAACAGTAGTAATAAATGTGGGAGAGCTATACTTCCACGGCCTCACAAAAAAACTGGCGTGAATCAACACTTGCGTTGTGTTTCGCCGTGTGGGTGACGTTACCGAAGGTCAAATCCTTCTCCCTCCCCATACTCAATCGTAAAATCCCCTATCTCTAAATCCCTAACAACCTACAAGAGGCCAGCAACGCGCTTGTAGAAACTTCTTTGGTATTACTAGTGTCTATGGGCGATTCTGATTACTTACCACCAGGTAATACGTCTGAATGTCTGCCGAAGTATGACATAAAAAAATTATATTGATTTCATTCACAATCATGTTTTTAAGAATGCATTGATTAATTGTCTCAGTGTCAACGTACGGTACATCTCCGATGTAAAATGACCGATCGATATTACATCCATGCAAGCTACACACGAATTTCCCAACATGCATCGTTCAGAACGAAATACACAGAATGTAGAAACGCTGACATTTTTGAAATGCATACAGATATGAATTCCAATTCTTTCGGAATTAGTACGCTAGCGAAGGCAATATGTATGCAAACAATTTCAAATCGGGTAAATGTATGAATACAGTACCTACCTAGCGGTACAATAATAAATATTTCATCTTAGACATCTACATAAAACGCGATCCTTATTCTGTTCATTTACATAAACGATTCAATGGAGTGTTGATTGTGTGTCGAAGGTAAGTGGGTTTTGATGTTAGGTACACTTAGAAACCTTTTTATCGTCTCCAAGTGAGGTCCTGTTAAATTAATCGAAAGAGAATGTTTCATCGTCTTTTGGTCTGACCATGTTGTTCTAACAAGGGCTAAAAGAGAGAATATTTAATTAATTAATCTATATAGGTATATATAACATAGGTATGAATCACGAAATATGTTGGTAAGCGCATAACTCAACAACGCCTGAACCAATTTTGCCAATTCTTTTTTTTTATATGTTTGCTATGGTCAGGAAAAGGTTCTTATGAAAGAAAATTCTAAAAAAGTAGAGGGGAGATCTGGGAAATAGGGACACTTTGGTCGTTAGTGAGATAGTGGGAGATGCGTGCGAAGCAGGGGCGGGCCGCTAGTTTCACATAAAGTTACTTCGACTATAATACATATACGTCTTGTGCTCCACCATGGCATTTGACAATACGTACAGATTATAGAACATTAATTTGTTAATGTTTTTTATTGAGATTCGTATGCTCGTTCTGACGGCAAACGAGAATACCTGATGGTAAGTAATCGGCGCCGCCTATGGACACGGAATACCAAAGAGCTACAAGTGTATTGCTGGCCTTTTGGTGTGTAAGGATTCGGAGATTTAGGTATTGGGCAGGGATTGGGAGAGGGGATGAAGTATTGGGCCTCAGGCAATCTCCTTTACACAGCAAAACACAATGCTGTGGTACCTTCAGACGGTGTCCTGTGAGGCCGTGGTGTCATAAAAAATATTGAATTCATTTATTTTAATTTATTAAGACAAAGGTGGCCGGTACTTCTTGGAAAAATCCAAGTACACAAATTATAGTACTACAAGAATTAATTTCGTTGCTTAGCATTCAATATTTCAATATTATATTGCTGATAGAGTTTCACAAGTAGATTCAATTGGCCTAACTTGGTCTAGAATTAAATCCAGTGTGGAAGTGTAGAAGCCTATGGTGCGGGAACTTAGTAACTAATAATATGTATGTTAATTTTATGTTACGTTAATAGCCCGTTAAAGCCTATACACGAAACTTTGAATTTCGAATGCAAATATTATGTTGCCTATCTAGTATAGGAGACGAGATCCCGGTTTAATAGTCAAGAGTTGGCCTGGATAAACCAACAGATGGCGTGAATTTTATTATTGCGTAGTTCTCAATGTTTATCATTTATACGAGTTAGCGGCTGCGGATGTAAGCATAATATTTTACCGCGGGCCCGGCCTGGATCGGGGAAAAGAACGTAATGGTTTTTAGTCAATAAGAGTCTGAATCAGGGCGGGAGAAGCCGTTCAATCTTCTTATAAATAAAAATGGATCGCAAAATGTGTTGGTAAGCGCATAACTCAACAACACCTGGACCAATTTTGCTAATTCTTTTTTTGTTGTGTTTGTTATTGTCACGAGAAGGTTTTTATAAAAGGAAATATTAGAAAAGTAGAGGGGAAGATTAGGGAAAAGTGACCCTTTGATAGCGAGATAGTTGGACCCGTGCGAAGTGGGGGCGGGCCGCTAGTAATTAATAATATAAAGTAGGTAATCTTGACAGCAATTGAAAATGTCGAGTTATTTTTCATAATATAGATTGCACGGTTGGTGTGCCAGACCGCACAAGGTGTCGCGAGTTCGATTCCCGCACGGTAAGACTCTTTTTATGATCAAAAAATTGTTGTTCCAGGTCTGGGTGGTATGTGTAAGTAAAATTGTATGTCTGTAAACGCAACCACGACATAGGAGAAATACCTCGTGTGGAGAAAGTTTTAAAGGATATAAAGAAAATATATTGAATCTTTCAATCGTGATGATTCGAGACACAATACAATAGGTGCGCAAACAAATAGCGATCGCTTGGGGTTTGATAAATTAAGTTCTGTAACGTTTACATAAAAAAATCTCTTAAGAACTTATTTTTCTTAAATGTTACTTGAATTTCTCCATCCAATAGCAAACGAAGTGCGAAACTGAATTCAAAAATTCAAAGAAGTAAATCTTTAGTTGGACCGTATTCATTACGTATTCGGTGAGCATGACTTATTCATAGTTTATGTGCCTCTGGGTGCGTAGCGAGCCATGGTCAGCATTCAGGTGCCATGAACCGCAGTACACTAAAAGATTCGCTAACTTAGTTGTAGCTCAGAAGAAGTAATTCTTACGTTATTTTCCGACCTATAACATTAAAAAAGCTTTAATTCAGTTTTAGTACTGCACTAGCATGCTTCAGTTTTAATAATATCAGTAAATTTTAATA